GTGACTTCCGCTGTCGTAACACTATTTTCAGAGTATTTTTTTGGAAATAGTGTCTAAATCAGTTATGAATTGTTCAATCTAGCATAAAGCTTAAGGTGCAAACACAGCTACTGTATTATGGCAGCTACTTAAAGAATTTCATTAATTATTACTAATTAGTGTATAGCTCGTCAAAAATGACGGGGCAAGTACTTCCACCCCCACCCTATAGTATACCCTAACTTCACATTTTATAGCTAACTGAAATAAATAAATTTTGCGAAATCAAGCTTGACCAACAAAGAGACAGAAAAGTGTAGTCGAGACAGTCAGACGTCGGAAACTTCCTTTGTGAGCCAATAAAAATTAAGATCATTCATGAAAGGGTATCGAAACCCGGATTCTAGCGTTGTAAGTCCGCAGACATACTGCTGTTCCACTGGGGGGGGGGGGGCTCAGGCAACAGCCTTTCATTAGGTTTCAGTGAGACCCGAGGAAAGGCTGTTGCTCGAAAAGTTGTTTTCGTGTTCAATAATAAAAGTATTTTTATTTGGCGAGCTATTTACAGTCATCATATTAGTCTATTTTACATTTTGTAATATCCTCGCACACGCAATTATTTTACAAGTATTAGAGGAAAAAATTATCGTTAAATAAAAAAGCAGTGTAGGACTGGCTACTGAACTTGAAAAAAGGGAACTGATCAAGATAGGGATGGAAGTGGACATATCACTTGATCCAGCTAATGATCACGTAGCAGACTAAACTGTTTCGATTTTACACAAAGAATAAAATCCCTAAATTACTGGCTTCCTTACTTTAGCTGTTGAAAACTCGGTGTTTGAATAGAATCCCAGCTTTCATCATTGTACCTTTCTTTTAGTTAACTTTAGAATATCACTTTTATGACAATATTACAACAGAGTAATATTTTACGATTGGAAATTCTGGTTCTCTTTGTTTTGCCAATGAGGAAGACAGTAATTTAGGGATTTTATTCTCCGTGTAAAGTCGAGACACTTAATCAGTTATGTGATCATTAGCGGCAACAAGTGATATGCTGCTAATGATCACATAACTGATTAAGTGTCTCGTCTTTACACGGAGAATAAAATCC